GCCGACTTCTTCGTCTTAAACTCGACGATGCCTATCTCCTGCAGTTGGGCGGCGGGCACGGTCTCCACCGCCTTCCGCATGGCTTCCGAGTATGACGTCTTCCCACCCCTAGGAATGGTCAGGGTGAGAGCCGCCATCTCGTGGGCCTTCGGCACTTGCGCTTTCTTCGGCGCGGGCTTCCTCTTCTGCGGCTTCGGCTTTGGGTTGGCCCTCGCAGTTGCCGCTGCAGGTGGCGCAGTCTCCGCGGCTGCTGCTGCCTGCTTTTTCTGCGCCCTCTTGGCCCTACGGCCAACTACCGTTGCCCATGTCTCCGGGGCTGGGGCAGCAGGCGCCTTCGACCTCTCTTGCTGGGGCCGGGGAGGGTTGGGTGCACCAGCACTCCCCTGTCCACTTCTTCCCTGGTTAGGGACCTCTGGCGGCCGGGTGGCACCCTGGCCTTTCCCGCCGCCGCGCACCTCTTCTGTGAGGTCCTTCACCATAGCAGCCAGGCTGGTGACAAGGCTGGTGAGCTGTTGCACCTCCTTGCTCCTGGGCGGCTCCTCTTCACGGCGCTCCTCCACGTGTGGGGTCACCAACTCCGTCTCTGGGCAGGGCTCCGGTGATGCCGGTAGAGTCACCGCCTCCGCCTCCATAGCTCTCCTCTTCAGCCCTTCCTCCTCGATGGGAGACGAGGGGGACGAGCGTTGACTTGCCCTCCTTTTGCGTGGGGGCGTTGGCTCCTGCACCATAGGGTGTGGCGGCGAGGGGGGGCATACAGCCACCGGAGCTGTCCTCTCCGCCAACTCTCTCCGCAGATCCTCGATCTGCCGCTTCATGTCTTCAGTCTCCTTGCGGAGCCTGACGGAGACTATCCACACTTCTCTGGAGACGCTCCTTGTTCGACTCCGACAGGGCGAGTGCCTGCCGCAGCTCGGCGATCTGAAGGGCATCCCCTCCTTCAGACTCCGGTCTTTTGCCGAGCTCAACGGCATATGCCTGTATGGCATTGGCTGACACCCGCAGCTCCCTGACGGAGGTCCCCTTCAAATTGCGGGAAGCTGCCGCCACGCGTCGCACACTATCCGCGTACCTCAACATCTCCGCCACAAGGTCTGGGCGGGGTAAGCTCTTCGCCTCCATCATGAGGTCCACTAACTCCGGCAGGGGCTTAGAGGACCTATGCGGCTGTGGGACTTCATTAGCCGGATCCATAGCCCTTCGCTCCCTCAGGAGCTCCCTTTCATCCCGGAGAGCCCTGTTGTGGCGCTCCTTAGCCGCCGCCAAGCCGACGTACTCGCCCGTGCTTGGCGGACGTCCTCTTCTCTCAACGCGGGGAGAGACGCTCCTCTCCGACCAATCCACGTCGATGGAAATTTCGGAGATGTCACTCCCACTGTCGTCATCCCCGACGACGGCTCGTGTTGGTGCTCGTCGTTTCGGTGCCGGAGCGGCGAAAGCCGCAGCGTCTCGCTGGCTCTGTCTCTCCGCCCACTTCTGCCTCGCAAATCTCTCGTGGGCCGTGTCCGGCCTGTCGGAGTCCGAGCTACAAGGCGTTTGCTCGGCGCTGCTTCCGCAGCCATCACCCCTCTGAGGAACGCTCTCGATGACGTCGCGCGTACTTCGTAAACGCCCTACCGACGGAGCGGGCGTATTGCATCTCACCACCGGGATGGTTACGGTGGCCATGCCGCTAATGCTCGGCATACTTTGCGCGTCCTTCTTTCCACGCTCCTCTTGAACCCCCTTCTTCTCTTGCGTTTGGCCGCTTTTAGC